TAGTTGTGATAAATTTGATACATTTAGTTCCTGTCAGAATGTTTAAATATCAAGCAATACACACTTGCAAGTCAAATTTTAATAGTAAAATGGTAATTTTTTACTTTTTACAGAAAAGGCAACCAAACCTCCCATTACACTTACAATATTACAAATTAAGCATGAAAACAATACACCTCACTTCCTCCTCTTCACATTCTAATGTACTAAATACTGCCATACCATTACAGAGAATAAAAATCTGATTCCTTGATCTATTTAGCGAGTTGATTTTCTTAATCTTAATATTTGGTCAATACATAGTGCATGTATTACATCTGAGTCTTTGAATCTACCAAGTAAATCACCTGAAACATGTTACTCAACAACATACTAACATTTAATACATTAGACATTTAAATCTCATACATTCCTTTCCCCTACATTTGGGTCTTTTCAAGTGTAGCCTCATAAATATGTGCATATAACCTAAAATATATTAGAAAATGCCAAGAAAAACCACAAGGGGGGGGAACATGGAAGAGCGACAAAACAGATGGGTGCAACTTGTAGCCCCGCATCTACTGTATTAGATATGGCCAACATTTTTATAGGATACTGTTATACTGTATAATCAATGGTATGGAACACAAAAATAATCTTAGCAATTCTCCCTGACTGGTATTTGCAAACATATTCAAGAAACAGCATTCCACAGGGATCCCAAGTCAACACTCTTGTGGAAGTAAACTCAGGCTCACAAAGGTATAGACAATATTTTTGATTTATAGAGCACCTGGAGTCTACTGCAACCTTTAACTTCCCATTCACCAGACCTCCAGTAGAGCTGGGGTTCTCAGATCACAAATCTATGGTAGGCTTTAAAGAGAGACATCATTACAACCAACTTGAGAAGTAAATGAAACAATTGCCTCCAAACCCACACACATGCTAATCCACCCATTACCCCCCAACACTGCAGCTACAACACTGTCTCATAATAGTAATTTTATAAATCATGGCTTGGTGTGGGTTTTTTAATTTCAGCTATTTTTTTCTATATAAATATTGACATCTAACTGTCCTATTGATTTTGGCACATTTTAATCACAGAAAATTGTTAGATATTTTTAACATTATTTCATGGAGATCTGAAAGCTTTCGAACATAAGAATAACTACACTGGGTCAAGACCAATGTTACATCTAGCCTAGTATCCTATCTTCCTACAATGGCCAGTGCCAGATGCTTCAAAGGGAATGAACAGAACAGAGCAATTATCATGTGATCCATCCCGATGTCCAGTCCCACCATCTGCCAGTCAGAGGCTTCAGGGACACCCAGAGCATGGGGTGGCTGGCATCTCTGACCATCTTGGCTAATAGCCATTGATGGACCTATCCTCCATGAACATACCTAATTCTTTTTTGAACCCAGTTATACTTTCAGCCCTCACAACAATCCTTGGCAACAAGTTCCACAGGCTGACTGTGTATTTAGATGAAGTAGCACTTTCTTTTGTTTGTTTTAAACCTGCTGACTACTAATTTCATTGGGTGACCCCTGGTTTGTGTGTTATGTGAAGGGGTAAATAACACTTCCTCACCATTTGTGATTTTATAGATCTGTCATATCTCCCCCCCCTTAGTCATCTCTTTTCCAAGCTGAACAGTCCCAGTTTTTTTACTCTCCCCTAACACGGAAGCGTTCCATATACCTAATCATGTTTGTTGCACTTCTCTGTACCTTTTCCATATCACATCATTATCAATTTCTTAGACCTTAATATTAACAACAGCTTCCCATACTTAAAGCTACAGTGTAAAATGCATACTGAAAATGAAAATATGTATGCGCTAAAATTCTGAAAAGGAAGAAGAGCAAAAGCTTCTAACAAGTTCTGCTAGCTTTTGGCTACTGTTTTTCTAAAGAAAAAAAAAGACTAACACACAACAGTGAATACTTGGAGTGTGCCTGAGATTAATGTAAGAGAGCTCCGATGTATTCCAAAACAAATCCATTAGGTCATGCAAAGATACCCACTTGCCTTTAGAAACACTTCATTTGTATAAGTATCTTGGTATGGATATAGTGATTTTCAGGACAATTTTACTTATCCCTTTCCCTCACTCCATAACAAAGAAATCATTTGGCTGTGCCTTTTAAATCAATGGAAAGGAACACTATCAGTCCCTGGAAAAATCATGGAGCAGGTCCTCAGGAATCCATTTTAAAGCACTTGGAGGACAGGAAGGTGATCAGGAACGGTCAATATGGATTCACCAAGGGCAAGTCATGCCTGACCAACCTGATTGCCTTCTATGATGAGATAACTGGCTCTGTGGATATGGGGAACGCGGTGGACGTGATATATCTTGACTTGTATCAAAAGCTTTGCTAAGTCACCCACAGTATTCTTGCCAGCAAGTTAAAAAAGTATGGATTGGATGAATGGATATAAGGTGGACAGAAAACTGACTAAATCATCGGGCTCAATGGGTAGTGGACAACGGCTCAATGTCTAGTTGGCAGCCCGTATCAAGCTGAGTGCCACAGGGGTCTGTCCTGGGGCCGGTTTTGTTCAACATCTTCATTAATGATCTGGATGATGTGATGGATTGCACTCTCAGCAAGTTCGCAGATGACACTAAACTGGGGGGGAGAGGTAGATAAGCTGGAGGGTAGGGATAAGGTCCAGACTGACCTAGACAAATCAGGGGATTGGGCTAAAAGAAATCTGATGAGGTTCAACAAGGACAAGTGCAGAGTCCTGCACTTAGGACGGAAGAATCCCATGCACTGCTACAGGCTGGGGACCGACTGGCTAAGTGGCAGTTCTGCAGACAAGGACCTGGGGATTATAGTGGACAAGAAGATGGATATGAGTCAACAGTATACCCTTGTTGCCAAGAAGGCTAACAGCATATTGGGCTGCATTAATAGCCAGCAGATCGCGGAAAGTGATTATTCCCCTCTATTCAGCACTGGTGAGGCCACATCTGGAGTACTGCGTCCAGTTTGGGGGCCGCCATTACAGAAAGGATGTGGAAAATTGGAGAGAGTCCAGCGGAGGGCAACAAAAATTATTATGGGTCTGGGATACATGACTTATGAGGAAAGGCTGAGTGAACTGGGCTTATTTACTCTGCAGAAGAGTGAGGGCGGATTTGATAGCAGCCTTCAACTACCTGAAGGGGGGTTCCAAAGAGGATGGAGCTAGGCTGTTCTCAGTGGTGGCAAATGACCGAACAAGGAGCAATGGTGTCAAGTTGCAGTGCGGGAGTCTAGGCTGGATATTACGAAAAACTATTTCACTAGAAGTGTGGTGAAGCATTCGAATGGGTTACCTAGGGAAGTAGTGGAATCTCCATCCTTAGAGGTTTTTAAGGCTTGACAAAGCCCTAGCTGGGATGATTTAATTGGGGTTGGTCCTGCTTTGAGCAGGGGGTTGGACTAGATGACCTCCTGAGGTCTCTTCCAATGCTAATCTTCTATGATCTTAGTGCTTAGCAGCAGTAGACTCCTCTACACAGCAAGCCAGAGAGGGTTAAGTCAAACTTTGGCTCACAGGGTATACCAGGCCCATGGGACCGGCATACTGGAATGTGTGTTAGAAGCTTTACCAGCCATAGCGCAAAAAAATAGCACAGAGCAGAAACTGAAAGAAAAATCAGATAGAGGAAAAAAAAGAAGGAAATTAAGAAGAAACAGGATAGGACTGAAAAAGCACATTCAGTTTACAGCTGACACCTAGTCAACAGTGTTCTTTAGTGTTTGTAAACAAAGGGAAGGGGAAAGGGTTTTTAACAATTCTGGCTGCTACTGCTTTTTTTCTACTTGTCTCCATCTCTTCCCCCTTAGCAGTGAATGGGATGTGGTCCCTTGGTGCATGACTGTCAAACATTTTGATCCTCAGCTGTGTCATTCCTGTATTCATTCAGCCCTAAGTCTTTCTAGACACATTGAGTGCAGGGGCAACCTACAGTGTATCATGTTTAGAATATGGTTTTCAGATCAGAGCACAATAACCACCAGCAGAAAAGTTGTAATGCAATCAATTTTCTTCCTATCACACAAAGAGCCCCCTCTAATAAATGTGGACAAGGAGGAGCATATATCTGTTGTCAGCAAATCTTTCCTGAAACAGTGGAGAAGACAAGCCTCCGGAAATCGGCAGTAGATCTCAATTATAATCTACAAAACGTTAGTTTCATACATTAGGCTGTTGGATTCAGCTGTGATTAGACCATACAATCAAAGCTCTGATTATAAATCATGTTGGGAAAACAGCTAATTAAGCAAATAGGCCAAATTATTATTTTCCCTTGCTTTTCAAGGGAGGGATTAGAATACGGGAGACATGTTCAAAGCAGGGCTGTCAAGGCTGATACGGATAGCTGTCATAGGTGAGTTGAGGCCAATATTTTGTAAGCTACTGGAGGCGCAGCTCCCAACTTTTGTTTCTTGTTGTCCCTCCAGTGTAGTCCCAGGCGCAGCCAGAGAGGGAGCTTTGCTCCGCTCCTACCTCCCCGATCCCCTGCCGGGCACAGCAGCAGCCTGTCTGTTCCCCTCTCGCACACAGATGTAGCTAGCCAGCGGCACGAGAACTTTTGTCCCTCTGCTCCCAAGTCTTCCACCACCCCACGGCTACAACCCCAGTCCCCCAAAGCTCCCGCCACACAAATCCGCCCTCCAGCCCCCTTCTTCACCCCTTGAGCCGCCGTCCCTCTCCCCAGCTCAGCTGAGCACACCCGAAAGTAGCCCAGCCCGGCAGCCCAGCTGCACCCCTCGTCCCCCCGCAAATTCCAGCTCCCCCGTCCTTACCGCCCCCGCCCCGCACTGCCGAGTGTGGACGGATCCCATTCCCCCTGCCGCCCCCCAGTCACTCCCCCACCCCGGGCAGACACAGCCGCGCCGGTGCTCCCCTCCCCGTCTGCCCAGCTCTGCCTCTGCCCCCCCGGCCCCGACAGAGGCAGCAGCGGTGCCCTCCCAGCCCTTCTCCGGCCCGTCGCTTCCCTCACCCGGGCCGCCGCCGCCTCCTCTAGCCCGGCCTTGGTGCCTCTCTTGGAGGAGCGGGTCCGGGACGAGATGAAATGGCTGCCGGCTCCGGCCGCCGCGGCCGCCGCTTTGCCCAGGGGGCGCAGGGAGCTCTTCCTGGTGTTCACCATGGCCCCGGCGAAGGCGGACACGCGGAGCCGCCGCCGCGGAGGGAGGGCTGCGGGGCGCCTCCTCCCGGGGAGCGGGGCGGCCGGGCAGAGAGACACGCCGAGCGCGCCGAGTTCGCCGCCGTCTTCTCGGCTCAGTCACACACTAACTGGCCGCCATTACTCTCCCTCTCCCTTTCTCCGCTCGGTCACCGCGAAGCCGCTGGCTGCCGCTTGGGGGCGCTGTGCCGCTGCGCAAGCCCGGCGGCCCCTGCGGGGTACTCTCTAGCCCGGCGCCGCGCGCTCTATGGGTCCTGCTCTGCGTGCGGGGGGGTGGGGGGTGTCTGGCTCAGAGTCAGCCCGAGCTCCCCTGAGGGCGGGGGCCGTGCGTGCCTGCAGCCCAAGGATGGGGGAGGCGGGGTTCTAGCTGCCTGCAGCCCCCAGGGAGGGCGGGCGTCTGGCTGCAGCCAGTGCCTGTTCTTCAGGGGTGTGCGGCTCAGCCTGTGTGAGGCTTCCTGAGACGCACGCTGCACAGGCTCTGAGGCTGTGTGAACAGCAGGGGGAATCCAGGGTAATAAAGCCTAGGTCTTATCAAAGTGCTTTACAAAGAGGGTCAGTAGCACCCTCCCCATTTTGCCAGTGGGGAAACTGAGGTACATGGCTGTATACCCTAAGTCCCCATGAGTCCCACTCCAGTGCCCTAGTCACTAGGTCATCATACTGCCTCTCCCCATCCAGCCGTGTCATTATTTGTATTGCAGTGGCACCTAGAAACCCAAACCTAGATTAGGGCCCTGACTGCTTTCGGGGTTGTTCATACACATAAGTGAGCCCTTGCCTCAAAGTAAGACCTTACAGTCTAAATAGAGACAGACAAAGGGGGTGTCGGCCTTATTTTATAGATGAGGAACCAAGGCACAGAGAATAAGTGACAATGCCACGCAGGAGATTTGAACTTTGGTGTAGTATTGCTGTGTATTGTTAAAAGACTGCTATGTCTTATCCAAAGGGTGGCTGCATTTCAACCAGGAGAGTGGTGCTTTCTGTATAAAGACCAAACTTGCAAAATTTACTTAGTCAAGCAGTTTATTTTAAGTCAATGGAATGACTATTTATGTGAATAAATGTTCCCAAGGATGGGACTTCCACCACTTTCTGTGGAAACTGTGCCACGGTCTAATAAGTTTCACTATTAAGAAATTCTCTCAATAGTCAGGACAAGTGTACACTACAAAATTAAGTTGGCCTAAGTTACGTTGATGTACAGCTACCACAGTAATTGAATCGGTTTTACATCTCCACACTACAATCCTTGTGTCAGCGATGCGCGTCCTCACCAGGAGTGCTTGCGTCAAGTTAACTGCCAGTGTGGTGCATTGTGGGACGGTTTCTGAAAGGCAGCAACTGACTGCATTGACCTAACTACATCGACTTAAGCGCTACACATCTTGTGGAGCTGGAGTTATTAAGTTGGTGAAGTGAGCGAGCTACATCAGTGGGAGCTATATTTTTTAGTGTAGACGCTTACAACGTTAGGTCGACATAAGCTGCCTTACGTCAACTTACCTCTCTAGTGTAGACCAAGCCTCAGACTAAATGGGCTACTTGTCTTGCTGGTTGTACAAGTCCCAGATAAGTTTCGGAATTTTTTGCCAGGTAGCCTCAGTCCACGTTTGATGTTTATTGCACTGTATTGGAATGCTAATTTTTCTTATTTATGTGCTTTTATACTAGACCCAATAATCTCCTTGGAGAGGGGAGAAAATAATATCTGCTATAATATGTTGGAGGCCAAAGTGTTTTACAGACTATTAATAGGATACAGTCTAATCCCTTTTCACTGATGTGAGGTATATGCAATTAGATCCCCTCCTCTCTCACCACTATTTTTTGCCTCCTATTGAACACATAGCTATCACAGTTCAGACACAGTCACAAACCCAGGGCTTCAAGAAAAAAGTATGGTTGGTGTTGTGAACACAGAATTGTAAGTAACAAACTTCTGGAGTTTAATTCTAGTTCTGACACTGACTTGTTTGGTGCCGCTAGGCAATTTGCTTCAATGCGTTCTGTTTCCCCAACTATACAATAAGGATGCTAAAATTTACCATCACATGGCACACAGTTGTTGTTGGGATGTATTAATCAATATTTTTAAAATCCTTTTGAGACTGAAATTGCAGTATTATTCGAGATATAAAACGAAGAGAAAAACTGCTTATATGCAGATGGGATTCTGCTGTTTCTATATCATACCCATCATCTTTATACCACAGTTAGAAAATCTTCTGAAAACATGTGGCAAGACATGTTTTAAAATAAATATTACAAAATATTAAGCCATACCAGTCAGATATTTAAAAAAAAAGTGTTCTACCCAGATTTTCAAACATAATGATTATTTTCTCCAATCCCCTTACCTACCCTGGGTTAGGTTTCAAATATATCTGAGTAATTAACTATTGTATATCATCCAAAAATCACAATAAACTTTATATCTTGCTTGCACTTTTACCAGGTACAGAAGTCTGATCAAGTGATAATGTGTGCTGGGGATTGGAAATTATTCTGATTGTCTCATTTGAGATTCCCACTTTCAGAACTTTCAGTCTGCTCTAGCAACTTTACCTCAAACATGCTCTTATCTATTGTTTAAATCCACACAGGACCTTTAAAAATTTTAGTTGGAGAATCAGTGAGCTGAGTTTTGTTGTATTTTCTTTCTTTTTCATATATATATATTGAGTCTTCATGAAAGGTGACAGGAGCTGCAGGACAGGAGAGGAATGTTCCCTACCAAATGTATGGTGAGGACTGGACCAGAATATAATTTGGGTGAGGGGAGCTAGTATCACAGTGGATGGCAGATAATGTAGTTTTCCCGTACTGCCCTGCAGTCTTAATAGTGCAGTGGATTAGTTCAATAATAGTTCACCTTTGGACATACTGGGTTCAAATTCTGGATGGAACAAAAAGCAAAGTCATTTAATGGTCTCCTCCTGCTTTTTTTGTATGCTTCACAAAAACATCACACATCGTGGCTGAATAAGCAGTCTATGATCAAGAAAAGCTCCAGAATACAATTACACAGAATGTTACAGATTATGATTGCAGTGTATTGGCAGAGCTATTTAGGGAAGCTTGCACAACATCTGCTTGCAACATGCCTGACTCAAGCCAACACCCTCAATTTCATGAGCACCAAAATTACTGATGACTTTTTAAAAGTAACATGAACTTCATAGTTGTCCAAGTTGTCTCCGTAGTTGGGCTCCTGTCCAATTCTCCTTAAAGTTAAAACAATTCTCTTAAAAGCTACACTTTTATTTTATGATTTACTAATCTTTTGTACTTGTCCATTTTTTTTAAATATTCTGATCTCATGCCTGCAAACTGTACTCAAAGGAGTAGATCTTTTGAAGCCAATGGGACTACTCGTACTAAAGAGACTGATGCAGTTACAAAAATCCCTGCACGCTGCTTTGAACCTATATCCTACAACATCTAATTCTTAAATGTTTTATTCCCATTATGTTAGAGTGGTGGTGAACAGGCATGTTTCATGTTGGATGTTTTCGCCCAAGATTGCTTTTGGCAGGTGCTTTATTTTCAGGTTTCCCTGTTCTCCAGATCCACTATAAGGAATGGCTAATATTATTCTGATTGGGGTGCCAGCATGTGACTTTCCACTCTATGTATCTTAGTTTGAATACCATTCACACATTCATATTTTTAATACTCAATATATAAATTAACAGATCACAAATTGCAAGGTTTGATTTTTTTTTTAGCACAAAAGGCATAGTAACATAGGACTAACATTTTACAATATACATGCTAAGAGTCTAGATTTAAGAGCTGTTTAACAATAAAAAGTGAAGCCCTGGGGAAATGGATTTAAAATGATGCAGGAATTTATATGGTGGCACCCTCTTTTTAGATTGTTTGTTTCAAGTACTATATAACTATACAACAGAAGGGTTTAACAACCAATTCTGGTCCTGTTCAGTACTCCTCATTCAAGAAAAGCTCCCAGTGAAGTCAGTGGGAACTTTGCATGAGTAAAGAATGTTGAATTTTCTTTGAGAGAAAGAGAAGAAGATAAAGAAAGAGGAGAGGAAAAGAGAATACAATGATTATTATTTATTTGTATTATAGTAGGGTGCGGAGGTCAAAACAAGATCAGGTATTTGTGTTGGGTACTGTATAAACATTGTAAAAGATTTTCACATCCATATTTTAAGGTGGAAATAACATGTCAATTGAGGATTCATAATTTCTTGCAGACAGGTGTCTAAATGCTTTCAAAAGCAAATGCCTCAAGAAAATACTAGGAATTACATTTATTTAATTTATAGAAATGCCAAGATTCGTCAGAGAGTTCATGAACTTCTCTCCAAAGTTATCCAGAAAAGAAGACACAAATAGCTGGGACATGTGCTAAGAATGAAGCTAGAGCATCTGCCCTAACAGATGTGCCACTGGGCAGGTGGAAGAACACGTAGAGGGAGTCAACTGAAAGAATCCATCAAAAGGGAAAACTTATGGGACCTAACAATGTAGAGGACATGAAAGAGCAGCCCAGGATAGGCAGGGATGGTACAGTTGTGTTTGAGTTGGTCTAGGAAGGATTCAGAAGATTTTGTTCTAGCCTATCAGTGTTTACAGTCTAGTCCTAAAAGGCACACACAAGTAAGGTACATCTTACAAGTGGGAAAATCCTGCATTCCTTACTCAGGACTTCATTGGGGAGTTCGCCTGGAGAAGGGCCGCAGGGTTTGATCCAGTGTTCATGTTTTCTTCAAACCTGGGTAATATTACCAAGGTTGATTTTGTAATATCTCTCACAAACTGGAAAATTCCCAAAATACTAAACAAATAATCTTTCAGGAATCTATTTATAGTGTCTTGTGTGTTCTCCTTTGTCGTGCTGCCAACTTATCTTGATTTTAGCTGAATCTTGGGGGGGGAAATTGTTCATGAGGTATTTCACTGTTGTAAACTTGCTAGAAGTCCTTTTCTCATAATACAGTATCTTAATACAGTAACTCCTCACTTAAAGTTGTCCCACTTAACATTGTTTCATTGTTAGTTGCTGATCAGTTAGAGAACATGCTTGTTTAAAGTTGTGCAATGATCCCTTATAATGTTGTTTGGCAGCCGCCTGCTTTCTCCACTGCTTGC